TCAGAGGCGTCCACTGCCCCCTTATCACTGGGCCCTGCCCTGCTCAGGTACAACAGCAGTAACTATTAAGAACTTTATTTGATAAGATTAAGCAGTAAGTTGTACACGTGGAACAGTTGCTATTGCTGTTGACTGAGGACAGCACTCATGCTTTTCTTCCTGTTGGACTGCAGCCTGACGGAGCCTTCATTCTGCAATACCAGTAACCCTGCAGAAGACACTTCCCAGAATCTTCTTTTTTCCTCGTACTGTTCAGGCCAGATTTTCCTACTTCCTTTCTGTCTCTCTTTCACCTTAACTCAGGGAAGCAACACCCACTTGTAAAGCTCACTGTGTTCCTTATACTAGAAACCAGCACCACCGCTGGCTAGAGCTTTATTCAGGCCTGAAACTTTGGTTTGGAACCTGAATACAGCCTGAGAACTTTATGTCCAAACCTGATCTGACCCACAGCACCAGGTTTAGAGTCATAGCTCGACCCAAACTGCAACATCAAGCTTTCAGTCTGAAACTGGACCAGGCTCAACAGTTATGATCAACATTGACCCAAAGTGCAGAATAAAAGGTGATATTTGTAATGATAGCACTGATTAAACTGCCACATAGCAGTAAATAATCATGGATAAATGCCATTTAAAAGTAGTAACAATGATAAGATATAATACATTAACCAGCATTACAAAATTAAGTTCTGCTTTAACAAAATTATTCATGAAGTGCTTTCAAACAGCATCCAAAAAGGTTTTTAGGCTGGTAAACTTTCCATAATATGCTGCACTGAGCTGATGTAGCTAAATAGCCTTTACTTGTTTACTCTATTCCTTTACATAGAACATGTTCAATATATAATCATATTGGTAACCCTTCCTTTTACAGCCTCTTAAGTTCTAGATATTAAGGTCCAGGTATTAATCTGCACCTCACTATGGAGCCCTGCTGGTAACATCCCGTATAAATAAAAAAATGCGTGGCCACTCCATATTAACGCATGGGAATGCATTACGAAGTCAGGGCCACACATTAGGATCTTGTTTACATGCCTTACTAAGTCGTGGCCACGCATTAGGATCTCGTTCCCATGCCTTACTAAGTCGTGGCCACACATTAGGACCTAATTCCCACGCCTTACTAAGTCGTGGCCATGCATTAGGACCTAATTCCCACGCCTTACTAAGTCGTGGCCATGCATTAGGATCTCATTCCTACGCCTTACTAAGTCGTGGCCATGCATAAGGATCTCATTCCCACACATTACTAAGTTGTAGCCACGCATTAGGATCTCATTCCTACGCCTTACTAAGTCGTGGCCATGCATAAGGATCTCATTCCCACACATTAGGACCTAATTCCCACACCTTACTAAGTCGTGGCCACGCATTAGGATCTCATTCCTACATATTACTAAGTTGTAGCCACGCATTAGGATCTCATTCCCACACATTACTAAGTTGTAGCCACACATTAGGACCTAATTCCCACACATTACTAAGTTGTAGCCACGCATTAGGATCTCATTCCCACACATTACTAAGTTGTAGCCACACATTAGGATCTCATTCCCACACATTACTAAGTTGTAGCCACACATTAGGACCTAATTCCCATGCTTACTAAGTCGTGGCCACGTATTATAGTTATTTATACAGGATGTCACCAGTGGGGATCTGTACCTCTCAGCTAAGTTTGAGGTGCAGATCCCAAAGTACTAGATAATTATTTTGGGTAACATGGTGGTAAGTTCTGAGACAGGTCAACTAAATTACGCTGAAATGCCAGACAGGTTCTAGATCAGGGGTGTCAGACTCAACTGCTAAAAGGGCCGTATTAAAACATCTCAACATCCATGGACCAGCTGTGTTTTGTGATCCCAACTGACCAATGTTTGTTCAAAATATGACCGATTCAAAAATAATTTTAAATAAAAGCAAATTGTTTTGTATAAAACAATAGACTACATTGGCTGCAGATACTGCTAAACCTCTTTAAATGTCCTCAGTGCACAGTAGGTTTTTAAAACTGCCCATTCGCTTGAACTGGACACAACATCTTTTTTTTTATGGTGGTGCTGTCTCATTGATCATTATTGGGGAGGGGGGTGCGAGCATACATTACGTCGCAGTACAAACTGAGAACTGTAGTGCAGCTCATGGTGAAATGGGTTAATATTTACAGAAAATTAAAATAATTTTGCAGGCCTAATAGGATTGGGCCTTGTGTTTGGCACATGGGTTCTAGATATCAAGCTGATAAAGGTCACCATAAAATACCTCGTAATTATCTAGAGTAACAAGGTGGTAAACACAAACATGCACACTGTAAATCCACTGTAAAGTCACATGTTTAGGCTGTAAAGTAAATCAGAAACACTGATTATGGCATAAATAATACACAAAATACAAAAGTTTTCTGAAGTAAATAATAAAGGCTCAGTAAAGCCGCGGTAAGCATCATTGCTGTCAATTACAGCCCAGATATAGTTTAGTATATACTATATAAGACATGTTGTACATTATAGTACTTTGTACTTTTGTGTACAAAGTACTACAGGGTACTTTTTAACCAAAATAATTACACTGCACAGTGGAGTTTGTACCAAATACTTATTCAGTTAATACCTAGAACCTGTTGGACAGTTCAGTGTTTAGTTAAACTGTCTTGGAACTTGCCATCAAGAACTTATGGCACTTTCCCATCATCTAAATATTTTGGCTAAACAAATACAATACTTGGCTGCACTAAACTGCACACTCGTTTGGTGTCCTGTGAGTGGGCCTCGTGCTAAATTCTCTTTTTTACGGTAAAGAAAGTAGAGAGGAAGAACAAAGTAATGAGAAAAACTAAAGCCAGGGATAAATTCAGGGTAAAATGTGTTAAAAGTGGGGGTGTGAAACCCAACTGTAGTTAGTGGACACCTTACCATCACACCTATATGCACTTGTTGGACACCTGTTCCAAAACCATGGACATTAATATGGAGTTGACCGTCTTTGCAGCGATACCAGCCTCTAATCTTCTGAGAAGGCTTTCCTCAAGATTTTGGAGTGAGAAGTTAAAGCATTTTTGAGGACAGGTATAATGTTGGCTGTGAAGGCGTGGCTCACAAGGTTCCAATTAAGTGGGGTTGAGGACAGGAGCAGTTATGCAGCGGCTTTGTGCACAGGGACTCAGTCATGCTGGAACAGGAACGGCTCTTCCCCAAACTGCTGACACAAAGCTGGAAGCAGATAACTGTGTAAAATATCTTTGTATTCTGTAACATCAACACCACCCTTCACTGGAACTGAGGAGCCTGAAAAACAGCCCCAGCCCATCATCCCTCCTCCACCAAACTTTACTGTTGGTACTATGCATTCTGGTAGGTAGCGTCTCTTGGCGTCCACCAAACTCGGGTCCATCCATCAGAGAACATGGTTTTACACCACTTTGCTTTACACAGTTCCAGATGATTTTTAGGCATGTAATTTCATGAAGCTACTGACACACAGTTCTTTTGATGATATTGCTTTCAAAGGCAGGTAAGAAGTCTGTAGTGATCAATGCAACAGAGTATAGGCAATATTCTTGTGCTTCAGCACTCGGAGGCCCAGCAACTGCTGAGCTGTTGTTGCTCCTAGATGCCTCCATTTCACAATAATAGCACTGCCAGTTGGGCAGATCTAGCAGGGTACAAATTACAGTAAGTGACTTGTGGCAACACTTAAAGTCACTGAGCTCTTTAGTACAACCCATTCTACCGCCAATGCTTGTCTATGGAGATTGCATGTTATTAAGGGTGTCCACATATTTTTGGCTACATAGTGTACATGGGAACAGTCATGTCTCTTCCCTCCCTTCCTCCTTCCCTCTCTCTCCATCTCCCTCTCAGTCCCTCTGCCTCTCTTTGTGTGAGAGCAGACCAAGTGAGGATGAAAAATAAGATGGTGTCGGTCTTGCAGGTGATAATAATACACAGGTTCAGCTCGACCGAGGCGGGGATTTGACTGCTGTCGGCTGGCAATCTATCCGGCAGGCCGAAGGGAAGCCATTTATCAGGCAGGAGGAAAGGCTGCGTGAGGTGTGTGCGTGCTAGCCTTGCTTATCCCTGAACACGGCCCAGATGCCTTGTTTACGCCGCCCAGGAGCACGGAGGCAATCTCAGACTGAGCCGAAAGAGTTTTATTTCTCATTTCAATTCTTGAAACCCTGATGCTGGTCGGGATATCGTTTGCAGCTCTGAGAGAGAGAGAGAGTGAGAGAGTTTGTTGGTGGATGTGTGTTTGTACGGAGGTGCGGTGCTGGTGTGCATGTTCAAACTGGTAATCACGATGATTATTTGCGCCTGTTTGTTTCGCTGGGTTTCAGCAGTGTTAAGTAGAGGATGGCAGTGTGTGAACGGGAGAGCAGCACTTGCGAGTGATTCACATGATGCTGCATGTGCAGTTAAGCTGAGATGGAGGCTCTAATGCCGACAGCCCAGCACTCCTTCTGTCTGACAGGACAAAACTCAAACACAAGGGCGATAATTAGCATCAGAGACAAGCTTCTCTTGTAGAAGGAGAAAGTGCTACAAACTGTGCTAAACGTTTCTTTTTCCTTGTCTTAACAGGAATTGGTAAAACACACTAATGACGGCACGGACAAGAGCAACCTGCGCAAAGCTCTGGACGCCATGAAGGTGAGTTCATATTTGAATGGAATTGTTAAATAAAGGCCAAGGCACACATTTCTTGTCAAATACTACCATTGTCCAACATTTTGTATGACAGACCAGTCCTTCAAGAGAGACCCACACTATCCACTAAACACCAGACTTCTTCATCAAGCGTCAATGTTAATGAACAAACACCAGCATTCTCAACCAAACACTATAATTCGCAAACGCCGCGGTTCTCCATCAAACACCAAAACTCACGAACAAACACCAGCACATTCTCCACAAAACATCCATCGTTCTCCATCAAACCCCATCATTCTGCACCAAAGATCAGTATTTTCAATGAGACACTGTCATTCTTCAGTTCTCCACCAAACACTCAACATTCTCCACCAAACACAAGTATTCTCCACCAAACACCATCATTTTCCATCATCGTTCTCCACCAAACACCATCATTCTCTATCATCATTCTCCAACACGCTGCATTCTCCACCAAACACCCGCCATCTCCACCAAACACCATCATTCTCTATCATCATTCTCCAACATGCTGCATGATATTTCTCCATGCAACTTCATCATTCCTCTCCAAACACCAGCATTCTCTACCAGACTCTAACAATCTCCAAAACACTATCATACTCCACCAAACACCTGCATTCTCCACCAAACACCATCATACTCCACCAAACACCATCTTACTCCACCAAACCCCATCATTTTGCAAAAAACATTACCATCTAAATGCTGGTGCGTAGGCTGGAACCAAAAGTCCAAATAAACCAGTATGGATGGGAGAGCAACATAGACACACTATCATAGACCAGTCCACTATCTGGGTTTGTTGATGTTTACTGGAGAATGTTGGATCTCTGTGCTCTGGACTTGTTGCATATTGGGTCTGGTTGCCTTGTTGATGTGAAATTTAAAGCTAAGCTCCACGTAAACAGCCTGTCCTTATGGCTGAACCACGTCTTTATACAGATATGTGCTGCATATTTGTGTAATTCAGGATCCTTCGTTCAGTGCTGACCCCAGCTGTGTAGGTGTTCCTCAACGTTTGACGGTCAGTGTAACTCCGATTAAAACACTTTCACTATCGGTGAGGCCTTTCTTTGAGGTCCGCAGCCCAGGGCTCGTCTGAGGCCTCTCTTTGGTGCCGTATGCTGTACTTTCCCCTCACGTCTGACGCCGTGTTTTCCTATGAAATCATCTCTCTGAAAATCAATGCGGGCCGCTCTCGACTCTCTGATGATCAAGATGGCGGCGAATGCGTCCTGACAGGTGAGCGCGCTCTAATTGAGGCGGATCACGCCGGGGAGAGGAGTGCTGCTAGCGTGGAGGGGCTGTGATGATTTCATTTGGCTAAATTAGCCACTTAGCATTGATTGGGGTGTGGGGCTAACGCGGTTAACCTCCTCAAGTGCTCCTGCTATCGGCGTGGAGTGCCGTGAACAGCTCCTTTAGCACCTGATTAGCCAACGGCGCGTGATGGATGAGAGGCTAGCAAGGCACTGCTGGGGGAACGGAACAGCGGGAGACGGGTAAAAACTCGCTCGCTCGCTCTGTCTCTCTCTCCCTCTCTCTCATTCGGGAATGCATGAATTCTGGCCGCTTCCCGCTCAGCTGCCGAGGGCTAGTGGTGACCTTACTGCCTACGAAAGGAAATCCTGAACGCTTTAAGAATCAGAATCAGGCCTATTCACCATGTGCATTTACATGTACTAAAATCTGATTGGCTCAGCGCTTGAAGCCGTTGTAAAATACATACACTGATATATACACATGACTGCACACATGAAATGAATTCTGTTTTAAAGTTATTAAAATACTATTGTGCTCTTCATGCAGTGATCATCTCACTGTGTTTTGCCATCAGAACAGTGCTCTCTGTTTGGCTGAACTGTCAAAATTTGAAATAATGTAAATCATATTATTATCATATAAGGTTTTTATACAGTTTACATTAGTTACGTATGTATGTGTTTTATATATCTGATGATAAAAAATGAGTCTGAGCCAGATTTGCTATAAATAAATACATAAATAAATAAATAAATAAATAAAACGTATTGTTCTACAGTATCATTTATATAATATTAGGCTATACAAAAATATAACATAGTAAAATAATTAATATAATTTATTATTATTATTACTTTTTTTTAATTATTTATTTATTTATTTATTTATTTGTTATTATTATTATTATTATTACACTGCCATTATTTAACAGACTACATCTAATCCAAATTTTGCTATATTTTAGTGTTTTATAGCACATATTAATGTTAAGCTGGGGTCTCTCTCCCTTTCTTTCCCTCTCTCTTTAATTGTATCCCCCTCTTTTTTTAAAGATGTTTGTGGTCAAAGAAACATCATGAGTGGGGGGTGTATTTTCAGAACCGTATGCTACCATCCTAAATATGATAATATTATTATAGGATCATTCATTAGTTACAGTGTGTGGACAGTAGTGTGTGGTTTTGTGTGCAGTCTGAGTGTTCATGAGGAAGTTGAGTTTGTGTGAAGGGTGTGTGAGGAGCAGTGGTGGAGTTAAAGTCCAGCCTCATCACTATAAACTCTAAACACTGTGTGTGTGTGTGTGTGTGTGTGTGTGTGTGTGTGTGTGTGTGTGTGTGTGTGTGTAGGACTTGGCCCAGTACGTCAACGAAGTGAAGAGAGACAATGAGACGCTGAGGGAGATCGACCAGTATCAGAAATCTATAGAGAACCTCGTAAGTATCAGAAATTGGAGGAGAACCTGATAAGTATTAGAAATCAATAGAGAACCTGATAAGTATTATAAATCTGCAGAGAACCACAGAAACCTACAGAGAACCTTGTGAGTATCAGAAATCTGTGGAGAACCTAATAAGTATCAGGAATCTATAGAGAACCACAGAAACAGTGGTGCTGCTGGTGTCTTTAAACACTGTGTCCACTCACTGTCCACTCTATCAGACACTCCTACCTTGTCGGTTCACCCTGTAGATGTAAAGTCAGAGACGATAGCTCATCTGCTGCTGCACAGTTTGTGTTGGTCATGCTCTAGTCCTTCATCAGTGGTCACAGGATGCTGCTCACAGTAGGTTGGTGGACTATTCTCAGTCCAGCAGTGACACTGAGGTGTTTAAAAACTCCACAACACACACTAACACACCACCACCATGTCAGTGTTACTGCAGTGCTGAGAATGATCCACCACCCAAATAGTACCTGCTCTGTGAGGGTCCATGGGGGTCCTGACCACTGAAGAACAGGGTAAAAGGGGGCTAACAAAGTATGCAGAGAAACAGATGGACTACAGTCTGTAACTGTAGAACTACAAAGTGCACCTATATAGTAAGTGGAGCTGATAAAATGGACAATGAGGGTAGAAACAAGTGGTCATAATGTTATGCCTGATCGGTGTGTATTATGGTACTATTAGTTGGAACTACTTTGCAATGAGACCACCTTTATAAAACGTTAATGAATGGTATTTATTGGTACCACTTTACGATACTTTACAGTAGGGATATCCTTATAAAGGTTTATGAAATAATTAATGGTTATTCCTTAGTTTATAAACACCTTAAAGTCATTAATAAGCATTTATAACACATAAATTAAAAGGCCAACAATGACCTATTTTCCAAATAGTGAGCCCACTTTCATGTATACTGTTAAACCTCAGATCTTGCTGGTTACTGATTTCAGACTTTTGAACTGTGAACTGACTCTATATGGCATCAGTAAATTTTGTATTTGTATATCTATATGGTTTATGCATATCTTATGTACATCATATAGTAGTACAGTAGTACTAAACAGTAGGAGCCATTGAAAAGTCTGAATTTAGTCCAAGTTTAAAGATAACAGTGAGTCATACAGAGTCAGAAGCCACTATTAAGTCAATTGAACCAATAATGAACCAATTTACATGGTTTCAGATGATTCAGACATGCAGTTAGCATCATGCTAATTGGTGGGATATAGGCCTCTATTACTTGTTAGCTATACTAACCTCATAGCGCTAGTGTAAAACTAAATAAGCAAACTTCAGACACCACACACATCTTGGCTGATGGACTGCGTTTGCAGTAAGGGATGAAATTTGAGTCTGTTTACCAAATCATACACCAGTCAGGTGACCACAGACTTTCCACCGGAGCTGTGAGCTGAGCATGTGCTCTCTGCTAATCACTGTTTTTGTTTTGATTTGCTTTGTTTTGTTTTTCTGCAGAATCAGCCTCTGAGTAACTACGGGAGACCGAAGGGCGACGGAGAGGTTCGAGTAGCTTCAGTGGACAAACGAGCCAAACAGGACAGGTCAGCTGACAGAGGCGGGAATTACAGCTAAAAAAAAAAAAACAAACATAAAAACTCCAAACACACCAGATACCATCTCCTCACGCACACCGCAGACCTGGCACAGGACCAGCAACACAAACTCTCTCTTTCTCTTTTCTTTCTTTCCTTTTGTTTTCTCTTTTGTAATCCTCTTCATTTGTTAAAGTCACTCAGTGGAGTGATTGGTGATTAGTGACTCCACAAGTCAAAACATCCACAGCAGGAAAGCCTTAAATTAGAGAACAAATGACTAATTAATGTTTACAATTCAGAAACAAATCTCAGTTTTATATGATTCATAGTAGATACTGAATAATTCATAGTAGATACTCAATAATTCATTGTAGATACTGAATAATTCATTGTAGATACTCAATAATTCATTTTAGATACTGAATAATTCATTGTAGATACTGAATAATTCATAGTAGGTACTGAATGATTCTTAATAACTGACTGTGTCTTAAGATTAATAACTGAGTAAAAGGTTCAGGTGATTAATTCTTATATTTCTTACATTTTTACTTCATATTTTTATTGTGCTCATTCTTTTATCTGCAGACTTTATGCTGTTTATTTACTGTTTTATGATACTTTTAAAGTACTAAAGGTTCTAGATAGGTGAATGTTTTATGATACTTTTAAAGTACTAAAGGTTCTAGATAGGTTAATCTGCGATGACTCTGGTCTTTCTCCGCCGCTGCAGGCACATCTTCCTGTTCGACGCGGCGGTGATTGTGTGTAAGCGGAGGGGAGACGTGTATGAAATGAAGGAGGTGATCGACCTCCACAACTTCAAGATCACCAACAACCCCACCTCAGACAAGGAGAACAGAAAGGTGGGAGAGAGAGAGAGAGAGAGAGAGTCATCTCATTACAGTTATCTGTTATAATCTGTGTGTGTGTGTGTGTGTGTGTGTGTGTGTGTGTGTGTATGTGCATTTAATGGAAACACCATCTGTGACTGCTCACACACACACACACACACACACACACACACACACACACTGCAGTGGTTAAATGAAGAAACATGATGTTTGTAATATTACATCACACAACATTTCACTAGATTATTACACCATATACATCACACTGTTCAACATCAATTAGAGAGAGAGAGAGAGAGGGTATAGAGAGAGAGGGTATAGAGAGAGAGAGGGTATAGAGAGAGACAGAGAAGCAGAGAGTAAAGAGAAAGAAAGAGAGAAAGAGAAAGGGTATAGAGAGAGAAAGGGAAAAAGAGAGGTAGAGAGTAAAGAAACCTCTCCACCAGATCCCCAAAACTGACATAGTGTAACTTTAACCGTTTAATTATGCAGAAATTTTGAAACCAATCAGTGTAATTGTTTTTAAGATGATGCTGCATCTCTCTGAATGTGTGATTTTGTTTTCATGTTCTCTATCGCAGTGGTCCTACGGGTTCTACCTCACGCACAACCAGGGCCAGAACGGCTTTGAGTTTTTCTTCAAGACCAAAGAGCTGAAGAAGAAGTGGCTGGAACAGTTCGGCATGGCCATGTGAGTGTATATATGTGTGTGTGTGTGTGTGTGTGTGTGTGTGTGTGTGTTGGTCTGAAGCGTAAACTTGCTTCTCTTGTATTTCAGGTTTGTTCATAAATCAGATATATTTAGCCTGGCTGTCATGTTCTCCGACAGCCAACACACAAAGACATAATCCCCCGTCCCCGCGCTGCCATGGCCACGTGCCAACAGCAGCTCTCCGGCGTTTTCTACCGCGTAAACAATGCAGGCATGAACTCACATACGCTCAGAGAGCGCCTCACGCAAGACTGCCAGTCACAGGGCTGTCCTGATTTACAAGCAGATATGAAAAGTGCTGCACGCACAGGTCTGCAGCCTGGCTCTGAATAGAGGAGGAGAACCGATGCAGGTTTCAGTGACCTGCAGATTTTGGACACCTGCTCTTCTCCTACTGGGCTTGGACTATGCTGACCTCAGCCCTCAGGCTGGCTTTACATGACTAGGCTTTCACACAACACTACACACTGAAATATGATGGCTCTTCAAGGGCTCTTTAGTAAAGAAGACAATAGTTCTATGTAGAACCATGAACACTCAAAGAACTCTTTGCATGAATAAATGGTTCTTTGCATGGTGAAATGGTTCTTCAGATTGGTGGAGAATGTGTTTAATATGGCTCTATACAGAACCTGTTTGAAAATGGTTCTGTATAGCACCAAAAAATTTTCTTCTGTTATTACAAGCTTGACATCGTAACTGTAGAAGAACCCTTTTTGGTGCTATATAGAAACATTTTCAAAAAGATTTTATGTAGAACCATATACAACACGTTCCACATCAATCTGAAGAACGATTTCACCATGTAAAGAACCGTATAAGCATGCAAATAATTATTTGATTGTTCATGGTTCTATGTAGAACTATTGTCTTTATTAAAGAACACCTACATTGTCTACTACTAAAGAACCATTAAAGAATCATATTACTTCAAACTTATTTAACTACAAAAAATCATAATTGTGGTACATGCAGGGTTTGTACACCCAGTTGTAAAGTCTTAACTCGTTGGGCCTTAATTGATTCGTTAGGGCTGGTTAAGCAGGACAAGCACTGTCATTAGGAATTGTCAGCTGATGGTCATAAATTCTCTCCAAATATTGGGCCACCTGGGGCTTCTTGAAGCACTTCTGAAAATGAAGCTAACTGACGCCTACAAAGAACTGAAAGGATATAAAAAAGCTACCAGAGGACTTCTAGTTCTTCTGCGGTCCAATGGCAGAAAAATGGTATTAGCCCCTAAATGGCCTGGGTCCACTAGCAGGTCCAAAGTTATATTACACACTTCCATAATCTAAGAATAGCTCAGCCAGTTTGCATTGAAGTCCCTGTAGTTACTGAATTATAAGCCTTAGTATGTAATAAGCCTGAGATTTTAAGGGGTTAAAAAGTGAGACGGTCTCCTTAGTGAAAGAGAAGAGTGAGATACTCTCCTCAGTAAAAAGAAAAAGTGAGACGCTCTCCTCTATGAAAGAGAAGAGTGAGATGCTCTCCTCAGTGAAAGAGAAGAGTGAGTTGCTCTCCTCAGTGAAAGAGAAGAGTGAGATGCTCTCCTCAATGAAAGGGAAGAATGAGATGCTCTCCTCAGTGAAAGAGATGAGTGAGATGCTCTCCTCAATGAAAGAGAAGAGTGAGATACTCTCCTCAGTAAAAAGGAAAAGTGAGACGCTCTCCTCTATGAAAGAGAAGAGTGAGATGCTCTCCTCAGTGAAAGAGAAGAATGAGATGCTCTCCTCAATGAAAGAGAAGAGTGAGATACTCTCCTCAGTAAAAAGGAAAAGTGAGACGCTCTCCTCTATGAAAGAGAAGAGTGAGATGCTCTCCTCAGTGAAAGAGAAGAGTGAGTTGCTCTCCTCAGTGAAAGAGAAGAGTGAGATGCTCTCCTCAATGAAAGGGAAGAATGAGATGCTCTCCTCAATGAAAGAGAAGAGTGAGATACTCTCTTCAGTAAAAAGGAAAAGTGAGACGCTCTCCTCTATGAAAGAGAAGA